TGGCTGGAGTTTGCAGAGATTCTATTGAACCGAAAGCCTCGCTAGAGAAAGGGCTCATCTCAGGGTTTTGTTGTGTTTGGTTTCTCTCTCTCTCTCTCTCTCTCTCTCTCTCTCTCCCCCCCCCCCCCCCCCCTTAAAATGCGACGGATTTCGGCGGGGAGCGTCCAAGAAATCGTCAAGAGAGGCTTTCAAAATAATTCCTTGAGGAGGATCGGGTGGTGGAGAGAGACCCTGAGGGCCTTTGTGTCGCATGATCTTTTTCCAGAAGGACTCCTGCCTCAAGCCTCGAATCAGTTCTCTGCGAATCAATAGGCTTCCTAGGGTTCCATGCAAACGTCTTCTCCCTTCCCCATGTGGAGATCATGTTTGAATCGTGCCATAACTTCGGATCTAAACAGAGTCTGCCCTACTTGGAAGAAAACCCAGCGTTTGCCCTAGATTTCCCTAAATGGCTTGAGTTCTGCCTGTAGAATTCATTAATGCCAGATTGTAGTTTGACGCCACTTGATGGAATTATGGGAGTTCTAGATGGGAGACTCTCACGCTAGATAATGAATCCACTTTAAATCTGGTTTCTGCCTCCTGCAGAATTCTAGAGTTTGTAGTTTTAGTGAGGCTGTTAAAGGCTCCTCCCTAAACTACAAACTCCAGAATTCTGCAGGAGGCAGCAACCCTGTAGATTCATTCTCTAATGTGATGAGGACCTTGGTACCTCATTTAAAGTGGATTGTCTAGTGTGATGAGGTCCCCTTTAAATCCGGTTTCTGCCTCCTGCAGAATTTTGTGGTTTGTAGTTTTAGCGAGGCTGTTAAAAACTCCTCCCTAAACTACAAACTCCAGAATTCTGCAGGAGGCAGCAACCCTGTTTAAACTAGATTCATTCTCTAATGAGATCAGGTCCTTGGAACCTCATTTAAAGTGGATTCATTCTCTAGTGTGATGAGTTCCTTGGGACCTCATCACACTAGAGAATGAATCCCCTTTAAATCCGGTTTCTGCCTCCTGAAGAATTTGCAGTTTAGGGAGGAGCCTTTAACAACCTTACTAAAACTACAAACCCCAGAATTCTGCATGTGGCACAAACCGGATTTAAAGGGGCTTCATTGTGAGAGTCTCCGATCTACAACTTCCATACAAAACTACAACATTGAGCCATGAGTTAAACCGGTGCTCAACTGCATTCCTTCCACAGTGCAGACGCTCCTCTAGTTGAGTGTTCCAACTCGACCCTTTTTGGAGGCAAACTCCTAGAAAAAGGAAGTCCTTTCTCATCTTCTCTCCAAGGCAGAAGAAAGAGTTAATGGTTCCTCATCTCGCCTTCCTTTCTGATGCATCTGCACTGCAGAGGCACCACTTTTGAGTGCCATGGCTCAACATGGCTCAAGGCTATAGAATAATGGGAGTTGCAATTTTCCCAATGGTGCTGATGCCTCAGCAAACTACAAGTCCCAGTTAGAGTGGTCTTAAACCGTGCCCATGCCACAGTTTGTTGCGCAGCAGCTAATTTTACCCAGCGCCCTAAGTCCAAATGCAATAGACTCACAGACAAGAGGAAAAATGAACAGAAAAATCTTTACTCTTAATAGCAGAGATGAAATATAAACTTGCAATGTTGCATACCAAAATCAAACAGTGCAAGAAACTTACATAGTCCTTGTAAGTAACACAAAACAAGGCATCTTCATCTTAAATCAAATGAGTGAGCAAAACATAAACCTTGAATAAACAACAGCTATTCCAATATAGAGTACTTCAGAGTAGCTTCTCCATGCTGCTCCCCAGAGCAAAGCCTTTGAGCATAGATCTTCTCAGAGAAAAAGCTCTCCACCACACTGTATTCTAAAAACTCATACAATTGTACCCAAGTTTGCTGGTTGACCTACATTACCAGCTGCACATAATCATTACCATCACATGGTTTTTCTTATACACACAAAGCTTGGTTCTGCTATGACTTACCACAACATAGTATAGATCTGGCATGTGCAAACTTGGGCCCTCCGGGTGTTTTGGACTTTAACTCCCACCATTTCTAACAGGGGAAAGGAAAAGACCTGAGGTTTAGAAAGGAATGGTGGGAGTTGAAGTCCAAGACACCTGGAAGGAGGGCCCAAGTTAGCCCATGCCACACTACACTAAGAGGCGGCCATACCCCTTTCTGAGGGTTATTTTGTTTTAGAAAGGGGCGCGTCCGTCTTGCTGTGACGTCAGCCCTCCCAGCCAATGGGCGAGCAGCCTTTGGGGGCCGGCGCCCAATGGGAAGCCGCCTTAGCGGGTGAGTGGCGTGGAAGCCGGGCTGGAGCGGAGCTGGGCCGAGGAATGAAGTAAGTGGTGCTGAAAAAGCCCCGTGGGCGCGCGCGCCAAGGCGAGTCGCGAGGCACTTCTCAGCCCGGGGGGCGGCCGGGGAAGGGAAGGGAAGGGAAGGGAAGGGAAGAGGCGCCGCTCTGCTCTGCTCTGCTCTGCTCTGGGTCGCCCAGGAAGGGAGGCTGCTTCCGGATTCAATCCCTCTTCCCCCTCGAAGGCGAGGCTGGAAGGCAACCTTCCCCCCGGGATTCGCATTTAGGACCCAAGAGGCTCCACTGCGGAGGTAAGTGGCTTGCCAAGTGTTGTCGCTTTTATTTATATGGACTTGTTTCAACTTGGGCTGGGTCTCCTTCGGGACTGCATGATATGCTCAGTGTAGAATCATTGCATGGAATCCGGTGTAGCTAAACTGCATCACAGGGGTCTTCTACACTGATAATATAATGCAGTTCCAAACTTCCAAAGTGCATGTCAGGGCTTGTTTGTCTGTTTTTCTAGTCTAAAAAGCGAGGGGAGCGTCCAAAAATTCATCAAAGGAGGCTTTAGACATAATTCATTGACCCGCAAGCTCTGTATCCAATTGTCGGCTTCTTAGAATTCGTTAGGAACGGAATGCAGGGAGTTGTAGTTCGGTTTGGCAGAAAAGGCCAAGCCCCACTTTAAAAATAAAATTCTCCTCGTTCAAGGATGTGCTTGAAATGTACTATGAAACCCACGTGTCCCACTCAGTAGTCATCCCCTTCCTGCCACCCATTTGCATTCCAGATGTGGTAAAAAGGGTGCAGCTACACTGTCGAAATAATGCAGTTCGCCAGCACTTCAACTGCCGTGGCCCAATGCTAGGGAAACCTGAAAGCTGCAGTTTTACAAGGTCTTTGGGTTGGCCTGCCAAAACGCATAAACTACAACGCCCAGGATTCCATAACATTTTATGGTCCCTTCCACACAGCTGAATAAAATCCTGCATTTTCTGCTTTGAACCGGAATATATAGCAGTGTGGACTCAGATAACCCAGTTCAAAGCAAATATTGCAGGATAGTCTGCCTTGATATTCTGGGATATACAGCTGTGTGGAAGGGCCTTCAGATAATCCAGTTCAAAGCAGATATTGTGGGATTTTCTGCCTTGATATTCTGGGTTATAGGGCTGTGTGGAAGGGCCCAGAGTAACACGATTTTTGTTCCTGGGTTATAAACGTCCTTTCCTAATTGATTCTATCATAAAAACATGGAAAATGTTTATTATCCTGCAGCACATTTTGCTATAGTTTTTCAATGAATATCTCATCGAGTCTCAACCAATTCAACAGACTTTGTGACAGCCACAAAAACGAAGTTCCTGGAATATACCAACCACTTTCAAAGTAAGTACAGCACAAGTAATCAGGAAATAACACTTTCAAACCAGGAACATAATTTTTTTTTCAAATGTTGTTACATAGTGTAATTAATGTGGTGTCAAACTTCAGTGTAGATGCAGCCTTGAACCTGTTTTCTGGAGAGGGAGGCTCAGGCGGGACTGTCACTCCCACAAACACGCGTGCCTTTGAGGGGGAGTCCACTCAGGAATAAAGCCCACTGAATTCCAGTGGGGCTCATTTCTAGGAATCATAGACTTGACGGGAAAAACCCAAGGGCAATCCAACCCCCTGCCAGGCAGGAGTACACCATCAAAGCCATCCACCCTGTTTTAAAAATCATACCCACTCGAAGTGTGGTCGGATTTGATCACTTAGCACACAGGATTTGAACACTTAGCACACAGTGTCTGAGCACACTTCCACACAGCCATATAACCCAGAATATCAAGGCAGAAAATCCCACAATATCTGCTTTGAACTGGGTTATCTGAGCCCACACTGCCAGTTCAAACCAGATAATGTGGGATTGTATTCAGCTACATGGAAAGGGCCCAAGACATCTTGTGAGACTTTAAAGACTCAAGACAGAAGCGGGATCCACTTTTTTCGGACCTCAGAGCAGTGGCTCCCAAAGCTTTAGTGGGTTCTTGATTCAAGAGAAAGATTAGGAAGAATAACATTTGACAGCGCTTCGATCTCGAAGGTTCATTGCTGTGGAATCCTGGGAGTTATAGTTTGGTGAGGCACCAGCACTGTTTGGCAGACTGAAAGCCCTTGCAAAACGACAACACCCGAGATCTCACAGCCTTGAGCCATGGCAGTTAAAGTGGGGCCAAACTGCATTACCTCCACGGTGTAGGTGCTACCGTTGGTTGTTGGTCCATCTTGTTTGAGACCTTCCTTTACGTTTGTCTCCACAGTGGGCCTTTCCAGAGGTGAGTTGTCTCGGTTTGGCCTGTAGGTACCCCAAAAATGACCCCGAGAGGAGGAGGAGGAAGGCCTGCGTCCCCTTTCCGAGGAATTTCTCCGGCAACCCCTCAAGAATGGATGGATGGCTGAGCTCTGGGGAGCTTTGGAGCTGGACCTCCCTTGGCCAGCCATAGCCGCTCATTTTCCTTCCTTCCTTCCTTCCTTCCTTCCTTCCTTCCTTCCTTCCTTCCTTCCTTCCTTCCTTCCTTCCTTCCTTCCTTCCTTCCTTCCTTCCTTCCTTCCTCTCTCCCCCTTTCCCTCTTTCCTACGGCAAACCGACGTTTGCCTGTTGCCTTTTCTTCGCCCTCTTCTCCTTCTCAAGGTCGCGCCTTCCTTCTTTCCCTTCCTTCCTCCCTCTGCCATGGCCGAGGCCTCTTCTTGGTGACTGGGAAGCACCTTCCCCCACGATGCTTGCCTTAAACTGACGCTCGGCCCTTATTTTGGATGAGTTTGTGGCGCTTCCGGGGACGAAAAGCCGGAGGAAGAACCCACCATGAAAGAGAAGTCCAAAAATGCGGCCCGGACTCGACGGGAGAAGGAAAACAGCGAGTTTTACGAACTGGCCAAGCTGCTGCCTTTGCCTTCGGCCATCACCTCCCAGCTGGACAAGGCCTCCATCATCCGGCTCACCACCAGCTACCTGAAGATGCGAGTCGTCTTCCCCGAAGGTAAGTGGCCTGGGGCAAAGGAAAAGGAGTTGGGGTTAGATCTCACTTCGTCCTGCCCAAAAATTTTGGGAGGGAGAGTGGAGGAGGAGGTGCGCCCTTAAAGTTGTGGTGTGGCGGTAGCAGAAGGCCCCAGATTGCAGACCCGGCATCGACTCTTTGTATTTCCTGGCCTTGATGTTGTTCTTCTGTGTCTTCAAGTCCTTTCCGTCGGGTTTTCTCAGCAAGGTTGACTGAAGAGGTGGTATTAAAATAGACTTGATCGGAGGAAAATTATTCCAGTGGGATGAGCGAACGCATTAGGACAGGGAAGAGTTTGAGGAGCTGTGTAATACGAGGGACTGAAGAAAGAGTGACTCACTTGAAGTAGCGCAATGGGTTAAATAAACCCTTGTGCCAGCAAGATTGCAGACAAACAGGTTAGTACTTGGAATCTGGGGAGAGAGGATTGAGCTCCCTCTGTCAGCTCCATCTCCCCATGCAGGGACATGAGAGAAGCCTCCCACAAGAATAGTAAAACATCAAACATCTGGACACCCCCTGGGCAACGTCCTTGCAGACGGCCAATTCTCTCACACCAGAAGCGACTTGCAGTTTCTCAAATAGCTCCTGACATGAAAATAAAAATAAAACAAACCTTGAAGTCATTCAATGGGTTGACTTATTTATTTATGCAATGCTTTTGAAACGAAATAAATAAAAAAATAAAACTTAAAGGAGCCCCCGATGGAGCCGTGGTTTAAACCGCTGAGCTGCTAAACTTGTTAACAGCTGGAGCATAAGCTCCAGCTGTTAGCCCCAGCTTCTGCCAACCTAGCAGTTCGAAAACATGCAAATGTGAGTAGATCAATAGGTACTGCTCTGGCGGGAAGGTAACGGTGGCCACATGACCTTGGAGGTGTCTAGGGACAACGTCGGCTCTTTCTCTTAGAATTGGAGATAAGCACCAACCCCCAGAGTCGGAAACGACTGGATTTAACGTCAGGGGAAAACCTTTACCTTAAATAAAAACTCAGTGGGTGCCATGGCCCAACTCTGGCTTCCCAGAGTCCTAATCCATCACTCAAATTACTGCTGGGGTGACACACATGGGATCTTTATCTCAAGGTGCATCTACATTGTACGGTTGATTCAGCGTAGCACCACTTTAACTTCCATATCTCAATGCTGTACTATCCTAGGAGCTGTCATTTCACGAGGCCTGTAGCTTTCTCTACCAAAGAATGCTTCACCAACCTACAATTCCCAGTATAGCACTGAGCCATGGCAGCTAAGGTGGTGTGAAACTACATTAATATTACTATGTAGATAACTGGCTGAGCCAGGACTACACTAATCTCCAGTGTTTGGGCTGCACCTTCTGGGGCTGTCCCTCCTTTTCATTATAGGATGTGGTGTCCCTCCTCTCCCTGCCCACGAAGGTTTTCTTTTTTTTTGGGGGGGGGGTGGCTTTGGTTGGTTGAGGAGGCTTTTGTCCCCTGCCTGTTCCCGTCAAGCAAACCCTCGCCTGGGCGCTCCCCTCCCCTCCCCGCCCCGCCCCTCCTCTCTGCCAAAGCCACGCGTGGCCCCAAAGGCCAGTTCTCTCATATTTATGAAAGATAACTCGGGGAGGAGGGAGTAGGAAGGAGGCCGGGAAATGAATTAATACCAAACTAAATATTTACCTAGATCGAAGCCGCTGTACAGAAAGGAAAGGAGCCTAACCGCTGCAGCAACGACGCTTCCTTTGCTAAAATAATAACACAAAATCACCCAAGGAAGGGGGGAGGAGAGAGAGAGAGAGAGAGAGAAGCCAATGAATTAAACCCCTCGCTTTGATTATGCATGAACTTAGCACATCTGGATCTTAGATGTCCACGAGCTCCAGGCTGATAGGGAGTCAAACAAATAAACAAGCAAGCAAAACACAAGCCATTGTTTTCCGGGTTGGTTGAAAAGAAAACCAAAGTCACTTTCAATGATCAAGTTCTTCGGGAAAGGTTTAAAGGTCCTTGGAGGGGGAAAGCGATGTCCTTCAAAGAGAAGGTTTATGTTTAGGGGCCCTTCCACACAGCCCTGTATCCCAGAATATCAAGGCAGAAAATCCCACAATATTTGCTTTGAACTGGGTTATCTGAGTCCACACTTAGATAATATGGGATTTTCTGCCTTGATATACAGGGATACAGGGCTGTGTGGAAGGGCCTTCAGATAACCCAGTTCAAAGCAGATATTGTGGGATTTTCTGCCTTGATCTTCTGGGATACAGGGCTGTGTGGAAGGGCCCTAGGATGGATTATGGCCATTGGCCAGGTGTGAAAAGAAGAAACACAAACCAAAATCTGTCCTTTCGTTTTATATTCCAAAACGGACAAAATCAGTAAGGGCTCAGGCTGGATCTACACAGCCAAATAATGCATTTTGAAGTGTATTTTATGGTCAGTGTAAAACCACATAATGCAGTTCTAACCGAATTCTATAGATCTATGCTATTTATTTATCGTGTCAGAAGAGAATTGAGGGTACAGCAGTAATGTCTTTAAAAACATAAACAAAGTTAATAACTTAGCATTATAATAAATGTCCTTTGACCAGTAGCTGGCCACTTGGAGTGACTCTGGTGTTGCTATAAGAAGGTCCTCCATTGTGCATGGGACAGGACTAAGACTGCATTGTAATAAGTGGTCTGTGGTTTGCTCTTCTCCACACTCCACTTTGGACTCCACTTTGTGGCCCCATTTCTTAAGGGTGGCTCTGCACATCTCATGGTGCCAGAGCCCAGTCTGTTCAGTTTGGGTCTACATTGACCACAGAGTAATGCCTCGTTTGGTAGTGTAGATCCAGCTTGAGAAACGTTTCCCTCCACCTGAACTCGCTGTGTATATAAGAGCACCCCTTCACACCATCTGGTGTACTTTTTGTAATTTTTAAAAATACTGTCTAAGTTCCTAGATCTATGTACACCATCATCCTAATTATATTCGCTCTAAAATATAAATAAAGTATTGCTGTTATTATATAAATAGTTTATTATTATATAAATAAAGTATTATTATTATTAAATCCTGATATTATTTTACTGACACAAAACCACAGTATGTCACAGCAAACGAGATCTCTATGCTGGATTTCCTATCACAAAATCACAAGTCGAACACTTCCCAAGCGTCTAGGACTGTGTGATGTATTATTATTATTATTATTATTATTATTATTATTATTATTATTATTATTATTATTAGTAGTAGTAGTAGTAGTAGTAATAGTAGTAGTAGTAGTAGTAGTATCAGCAAACAAGATCACTCTGCTGGCTGTTGTATTGGATTATTATTATTATTATTATTATTTCCTGAGGAACTCGGGAGAGAGTGTAGTTTCCCTCTGATTTGAAAGCAGGGCTCGCCAACTAAATTCCCAGGTAAATCAAAATTGGACCCAGGATGCTGATTCTTCCGAAATCATCTTTCTCTCTTTTTTGGCCAAAATAAAAGCAAAAGATCGGTTTTTGTCCAGTCGGTCGGACTATTAGTAAATAAAACCTTTTGTCAAAGTATGAACGTCGGTGAAAAACCAGGAGCTGCGATAGATGGGGGAAAGACAAGAGATATTCCAAGAGGAAAACCCTTCCGGTGAAGGAACGAAAACAAAGGCATTGAGGATACGGAGGAATGTGAGGAGCGATGTAATAGGAGAGGCGTGACAGAAGGGATTGGATCCACGGGATTAAAGACCGATATTAGGAATAGAAGGGAAACAACCCATGGCAGTATATTTTATCACTATATACACACATATATGCATGTATTTAAATATATATGTGTGTGCGGATAGACATAGGTAAAGGTAGTCCCCTGACATTAAGTCCAGTCATGTCTGACTCTGGGGTGTGGTGCTCATCTCCATTTCTAAGCCGAAGAGCCAGCGTTGTCCATAGACACCTCCAAGGTCATGTGGCCGGCATGACTGCATGGAGCGCTGTTACCTTCCCACCGGAGCGGTACCTATTGATCTACTCACATTTTGCATGTTTTCGAACTGCTAGGTTGGCAGAAGCTAGGGCTGACAGCGGAAGCTCACGCCGCTCCCCGGAATCGAACTTGCGACCTTTCGATCAACAAGCTCAGCAGCTCAGTGCTTTAACCCACTACGCCACCGGGGGCCCATGCGGATAGACATACATATATGTAATTTTAGATATTTTTATATATAGGAAACATCTCAATATCTATGTGTATATGTTATATGTATGTATGCGTGAATATATGTGTGTGTGTGTGTATGTGTGTATATACACACACACATATACACATAGATAATATGGATATAGTTTCTATATAGATATAGATATAGATACACACAAAGAGAGAGAGAGGCTGGATCTACACTGCACTATAGCCCAGGGTGTGATCCCAGATTATTTTATTATCCCGGATTATCTGGCAATGTAGATTTATGTAATCCAGTCATATATGTAATTTTACATATTTTATATATGCGATTTTTATATATAGAAAACATCTCCATATCTATGTGTATATGTTATATGTATGTCTGCGTGTATATATGTGTGTATGTGTGTGTGTGTGTGTAGAACACAAACATATACACATAGAAATGGGGATGGTTTCTATATAGATATAGATACACACACACACAGAGAGAGAGGCTGGATCTACACTGCCCTATATCCCAGGAACGGATCCCAGATTATCTTCTTATCCCAGATTATCTGGCAGTGTAGACTCATATAATCCAGTTTAAAGTAGATAATCTGGGATCAGACCCTGGGATATTTGGCAGATCCAACCTATAAATACCCATTTATTTTCCGGAATGATGTTATTGAGCAATTGTCATTTCACAGAAACGCGATCTCTGTATTTTCTGTGAGTTTGAGCCGTTGAAATGGAACTTCGTTTCCCAATCACTTTGCATTTCTATAGAGATATTTACTTCCACTTCGAATCGAGGGTGAGCGGTGTCCCTTCAAAGTGCAAAGTGTAGCCCGACGGGTGTTTTAATAC